TCCAAGAAAGTGCCCGGCAAAATACTGTACTCTTTTAAAAATATTTGGCTAGCTAAAACAACAAGGTTATATTCACTAAAATTGAAAAATATTATTTTTAAAAATATTGATTTAATTTAATTTAATTGATAAAAATAATTAATAATTATAATTAATAATTAAAAAATAATAAATGATTGATTTTTATTAGTTAATACATTAATTAACAATTAATAAACTAATAATTTTAGGTATTATTTAAAAAATTATTATAATTTTGATAACCTAATAATATTGATGGTGATAATAATCATATCTAATTAAAAATGAGAGGTCTCTTATATATAACTGATTATTTATGTCGTTAAAAAAATGAAATTTTTAATTATTTAATTAAAAATCGATTTTTAGTTCGACGTCTATATACAAAATTTTCTTTTTTGTTTTTTTTCTTTTAAACAGATTACAATTTTTGAAGAATGAGAAAAGGAGATTTTTAAGGTATTAATAAGATTCTAAACACCTAAATATTTTGGGACGAACCATTTCCACGAAAAGTTTCGATTCAATTTTCTTTCTTGCTTAGTTTTATTGGAAAGAGCAAAGTTTAATTAGGGATGCATATTGTCAAATCAAAACAATGACATTTCTCATTAAAAAAAAAATAAAAAGAAAAACAATGACGTTATAAAATAATAATAAAACTAGAAAATTATCTGATTCGGACTGCATTAAAACCAACGTCAAATTAAATTAATTTAAATACCGTCTGAACAATAATTTATGATAAAAGTTGTTTTTGCATGATGTCTTTTTACATTTTTTTAGTGTTTATATAAAAATTTATTTTTTAATTAATATTTTTAAAAATTAATTATTAAATTAAAAAATTTATTTATGTAAATCATATATATATATATATAAATTTTTATATTAATCTATTAAATCTAACTAATTTGTTTATCATATAAAATTTAACATTATTAAATATATATCAATAAATAAAAATTTTTATTAAAAAAATGATAAGTATTAAATTAATATAATAGTTAATTTTAATGCATTAGTTAATTTTTAAAAATATTAATTAAAAAGTTAATATTTAAACAAGGCCTTCAAAAAAAGATTTTTGTGAGGGTACAAGCTCTACTACACTTTTTTTTTGGTTTTTCGCTCGGTATCCGAGCTTTCGCTTCGATTAATCCGGACCCGACCTCCGTCGCGCACCTGGAAATAGTGGGTGAGTCTCCCAGCGGAGGCTGCTGCATACACAAAGACTCGAACTCGAGACCTTACTTAAGTTGGAACAAACTGCTTAACACTTGATTCAACCCCTCGTTGGTCAAGCTCTACTACACTAATTACATAATTTATACACCTACTTTCATAGTATATTCGATTTAAAAAATTAAAGAAAAATAAAAAATAAATTTTTTAATAAATCAAATTATAATATTTAATAATATTATAATTTAATTAATCAAAAAATTCATCCTCCCTCCCTTTCACCCTAGTAAACCAAAACAGACTATTAGTCCAAAACACCACACACAAAAAACACATGTACCCAAAGGATGAACAAATTAGTTCAAATCTATTGACCAGGGATACCAGAATCCCATAAATATGGCTTTGTTCATAAATTCCACCTCTAGGCGGCTAAAAGGCAGCCTCTTTAACTCAAGGATCTGAATTTTGAAATCTGTCTAACATAATCCAAAATAGACTAAAGTTTTTTTTTGCCTATGGAACAATAAAATAAAAATTATTAAATAAAATACTGTATTAAATAAAATGAGCTTTTTACATCGAAGAATATTTTTCATTCAGTTATTCATGTTTTATAGCGTCAGTGTCTTTTATTCTTATTTTTGGGTTTGAAAGTCCTAAAAATGTACCGGTAAATCAAATTTTTAAGATTTTTGTTTTATTATATTATTTTTTCTAAGTTTGTGAATAATAGTCATTAATTTAACCTTATTAGCTAGATTGACATATGTACTTAGCAGCGTGGGGCAGAGCAGGGGTTATATTGTTAGGGTCTTTTCGATTTTTACTTTAATTTATTCAAGAGAAGTATAAAATTGATTAATTTAATCTAAATAAAATTAAGTTATTACTTAAATAATTCAATAGTAATATTTTTATTATGAAAGTAAAAAATTTTAAATTTAAATTATATAAGATATGGATAAAATATGACAAAAAAATAAAAAAATATTGTCTTTTAGTATGTAATTCAAAATTAATAAAAAAATCTAAACAAAATTGAATTAATCTATTGTGGATGGCATTACTTATATTAATTAAATTGGTTTAGTGGTTATTAAAAAAGATTTTCTTTTTGAGCAAAAAAATCCAAACAGCATTAGGAACAACGTCACTTTCATTGTGAGGCTTTTCGTCAAGAGGAGAAAACCTTAAAATGAATAGATGGAAGTAATAAGATAAAAATGATCAATATTACTAATTAACCCAAAGCATAGACTTAGACTTCTAAATTAGAGATATTACATCCAAACTTTAAGATAGATAAAAAAGAGCTTAATTATCTTCTTTTAAGTAACTACGCTCAACAGTAAAAGGGGAATCCATAAGAAGACAATAGACAATATGTACATATTAAGCCAAAACAGTCAGAGGGCAACTCTCGTTTGGCAAGTCATGGACATGAATGAATGCTGTTTGTAGCAGCAACATTCACCATTAACAGCAAAGTGAGAGGTGCCCTATGACTGTTTTGCTTACAAATTAATTAACTCCAAACCTCTTCAGAAATATTGCTTCTTCGTATTGCACGAAGACTCTTAACTTCTGATAAAAAAATAAAGAGAAAAAAAAAATATATACAAAGACTTTCTTTCTTAATTTCACAGAATATACAAAGTGCTTATTTATA